CTCAGTGAAAACTATTACCACTTCTGACCTCCAAAATTATATTTTAATATTTGTTGTTTTAAGACACTAAATTTATGGTTATTTATTACAGCAACTATAAAAACCCACTGTCATCACATCAATTCTGATTATAATTACTCTATAAGACAGAGTAGAACTGGCCCATAAGGTTTTCAAGGTGTAAGTCTTTACAGAATCAAACTACCTCATCTTTCTCCTCCAGAGCAGCTGGTGGGTTTGAACCACTGACCTGCAAACTACTGTGTCAACAGAATGACACTCCCAACCATCTAGGTCACCATGAGTTGGAGCTAAATCCACAGCAATGAACAACAACAACATATGGTTTAGTAGTCTTTCCCTTTGAATTTTAGACAATTTTGTTGTGATAGGTAGTAATGTTATTTTTTTTTCATTAGTCATTATCAAAATTAATAGTGTTAATCCAGGCACTTAACCATGTCATATTATACCCCTTTGCAGTTTAGGTCAAAATTAGGAAAAAATAGTAATTTGTTCCAATTTATGATCTTGTTTCTCATAAACTTTTATTTACAAAATAAAACTAGTTGCTATTTTTATACTATTCGCTAAAAACATACTGGTAAAATTTTAAAGGCAGAGATGTACAGGAGTCTGTGTAACTGTGACATATTGGCAAATATTGTGGAATTGGAATCAGATTTGGTGACATCTCCAATTTCAAATTACATCTCTTACTGGCTATGATTTTTGTGTAAACTGAGAACCCTGAGTGATCAGAATTTCTCAGGAAAGTAGAGTAGGAAAAATTGTATCACAGGGTTTTGTGAGGATACAATGTGATTTTGTAAGGAAATTAAGTACCAGATCTGTAATTCATTCACATACAATTCATTGACATCATTTTTTAAAAATAATTCCTATTACTACTTTTAATTTTGTATTTTGTATTCCTATGTCATCTTTCATTACAAAGATAGATATGCTGATATTTAACATTTATTTTTGTCACTTAAAATGGAATTTTTCTTTAATTTTCTCTAAATCATCAAAGCATAGAATACAATAAGCCAGAAATGACCAAAGCAATAGCCTAATTCAGCAGCCTTGACCTAGGTCTAAATTTGAATGGAAAACAAATAATAATAACATCAAATTCACTATTTATTTAGCATTTACTTCAAGTATGAATAATAGGCAGCAAGTCACAGGGTTATTAGCATTCATTAAATGACATCACCAGTAGAAATCATAGATTTTCTTATACAAAATATACAACAAATAACTTTAAATTTGTAGCAAACATCTTTAAATATTTTTTTACATCTGTTATTACTTTCAAAATGTGATGGTTATTAGAATCATCACTGTACTTTACTCTTTATTGTGTTAATAACCAAACAACAAACCAAACTCACTGTCAGCAAGTTGATTCTGACTCATAGGGATCCCCATTGGGTTTCTAAGGCTGTAAATCTTTATAGGAACAGAGTGCTTCATCTTTCTTTCAGGGAGTGGCTGGTAGGTTTAAGCCACTGACCTTTTGGTTAGTAGCCAAATGCCTTAACCACTAAACAACTAGACTTCTTTAATGTATTAATAAAGAAATAATCATATTACTTTACCACATATTTATTGTTATTTCTAATATTTTATAACATAATTGTTATCCCAAAATCCTATGCATTTTATTGTATGCCATTTAACATTATTCTGAGATGAGTAGATTGAATAAATAAATTGTGGTATATCCACATAGGGAATTCTATACAGCAATGAAAATAAATTACCACAATATAAAATAATATGATAAACTTCACAAAAACAAACACTGAAAGAAGAAGTGTATACACTAGGGCTTCCAGTAAGATGGCAGAATAGGCAGACTGACTACACAGACCCTCTTCCACAAAGAAAAGGGGAATCAATTAACACAGGTAAAAAAGATAACCCTGGATCCCTGAGCTTTGAAGGGAAGGATATAGAAGTGGACTGAACTCCAGCTAGGAGAAGAACTTGCATGAAAACACCAAAAAAGGAGATGTATGGAGCTGCAGTCTGTCAGCAAACCTAATGGCGCAGACAGCTTGGATATTGCCGAGTGTTGTTAGGGCCTAAGAGTTAACCTAAAAATCAGCTCTGCTAGCCAGGGGCTGCACAGAGGACTGCACTGGTGGCTGGTAAATAAAAGGGGAAGCATCAAAGAGGAAGAAGGGCTGAGCTGTGGACTTTTGCCTTTCCAGAGGATGCAGCCATTTTTTAATGTTCATCAGTGGTTCGACCATTTTGGATATTTAAAGTATCAGTGTTCTCCCAGATTCCAGGAACCTCAGAGCAGACTCCACTTGCCTGGAACCACAAGGATATTCTGGACGCCAATGACTAGAAAGGTGCAATATTTCCCTTGTTCCTCTTATACCCCACACCCTCTTGGTGAATGGAGGTGCATCCATCCCGCACTCTCACCCACATTCGGGGCTGGCAGGAATTCCTTCCCACTCTGTGTGATCAGACAGAGCCTTCCTGGGGCTCTGGCTTACCCTGCCCACATTTTTTTTTTTCAGTTTGTTTGCTTTGGTCTGTTTTAAAATAATAATAATTATTGTTATTCAGGAAACAAGGATACTTTCCGCAAGACAGAAAGTCCACAGGGGCCTCCAGTGCCCTTGGGGTTCTCCAGGCCCAGCAACCTCATCAGTTTCTTGATTCAGTCACACCACCCACCACTGAAGACTTGTGTGCAGAGCCTCTGTCAGCCAGGCTTCCTCCCAGGCCCTGAACTGCTGGTCCCAGGCCCCATCAACATCCCTAAATGCCCAGACTGAGCCACTATCCAAAACTCTTTAGCTATGCTAAAACGCCCATGGAGAAGAAAGCACTTGAGATGGTGGAGAAGTGCCTGGATAAGTACTTACAGCACCTGAGCAATGACCTGGAGGTATTGCTGCTCACAACAGCTGCAAGACAGTGAGACCAGAAAACCTGGAGATGCTGATGAGTGGCAGGGCCTGGTAACCAACCAAGTGTCACTTCACTTGCTTGTAGAACAGTACCTGCCCCTGGAGAACCAGCAGCTTCTCATCCCCTGTGTGTTAAGTGGCAACACTGTGTTCCCTGCCCAGTAGTGCCAGGCTCCAACACCTGCCCTTTTCCCTCCTGGGCTCTCATGACCCCACATATGCCTCCAGGTCGCCTTCCTCACCTCCCTCTCTCCAGCCACAATAAACTGTTACAAACAAAAAAAGAAAAAAAAAATGAATCCATTCAATGGGGATGAGATAGTGTCTTTCACAAATGGTGGTGGCAAAACTGGTTATCTATTTGAAGAAAAAGGAAATAAGATCCTTACCTCACACCACACACAAAAACTAGAGAAGGATTAAAGCCTTAAACATGAACCTAAAACTATAAAGTTCATCAAAGGAAAAAATAGGGGCAAACTTAGGGGCCCGAATATATGGCATAAATAGTCTATCAAGCATAACCCAAAATACACAAACACTAGAAGATAAACAAGATGAATGGAAGCTTTTAAAAATTAAATTTTTATGTGCTTCAGTAGACTTTTCCAAAAGAGTCAAAAGAGAACCTATAGACTGGAAAAAATATTCAGCAATGACGTATCTGAAAAGGGACTTATCTATAAAATTTGTAGAAAATTCCAACACCTCAACAGCAAAAAGACAAATAGTCCAATTAAAAAAATTAGGCAGAAGATATGAATAGACACTTCACCAAAGAGGATATTCAGGCAGCCAACAAACACATGAAGAAATGTTCATGATAATTAGCCATGAGAGAGGTGCAAATCAAAATAACAATGTAATACCATCTTTCCCTAGCACTAGTAGCAAAGTTCAGCAAGACAGTAAATAACAAATGCTGGTGAAGATGTGGAGAGATTGGAACTCTCATACACTGCTGATGGGACTGAATAATGACGCAACCATTGTGGAAAGCAATATGGAAATTCTTTAAAAATTTGGAATTAGAAATACCTTTTCACCCAGCCATTTCATTACTAGGTATATATCCTATAGAAGTGAGAGCCATGACAAGAGCAGACATATGCACACCCATGTTCATCACAGC